AATCAAGTCCCACATTGGGCTCCTCTCATATATATATATATATATGATAATATATATATATATAATGAAATATTATCCAGCCATAAGAAAGAATGAAATCTTGCCTCTGCAATGACATGAATGGAGCTAGAGAGTAGTAAGCGAAATAAGTCAGAGAAAGACATAGATCATACAATCCTTAGAAGTAGATTTGCTTGGTCAGAGGGCCCATGCATTTGCACTTTGCTATATATATTGTGAAAATTGCTCTGTTGTGGATTGTACCGATTTATACTGGCTCCAGTAATATATGACAATGCCTTCTTCCCCACAGCTTTGTCAACACATTTGGCAAAACTTATGGGATTTGTACCAATCTGATGAGTGAAGAATCATATGTCTAGGTAGTATTAATTTGTATTTCTCTTAAGAATCATCTGTATTTCTTTTCTGTCAAATGTCTGTTCATATCCTTTGGCCATTTTTCTCTTGGGTTTTATTTTTTTAAGATTTTTATTTATTTATTCATTAGAGACACACACACACACACACACAGAGAGAGAGAGAGAGAGAGAGAGGGGCAGAGACTCAGGCAGAGAGAGAAGCAGGCTCCATGCAGGGAGCCTGACATGGGACTTGATCCTGGAGACCTAGGATCTGAAGGGCTGAAGGCGGCACTAAACCGCTGAGGCACGTGGGCTGCCCTCTTGGGTTGTTTTTTATGTTGTAATACTTTGCACAAACTCTTATATACTAGAAAGACTCAGACCTTTATCTTTGAATCTAGTTTGTCATTTACCTTTGACGTGGCTTATAGTCTCTTTTGCCAGGCAAAATGATAAACTTGATTATATAAAAATTAAAAACAATCTTTTATTGTATGTGGATTTAGGACAACTCCCCTACCCCACTTTCTCTTTCAGAGTGTTCTTAGCTATTTTGAACTTCAATTGTTTAAGGAAAAAAAAAAAAAGATAAATAGGGGCACCTGGCTGGCTCAGTTGGTAGAGCATGCAACTCTTGATCTTGGAGTCATGAGTTTGAGCCCCATGCTGGGCATAGAGCTTACTTTAAAAAAGATAGAGGGACACCTGGGTGGCTCAGGGGTTGAGCATCTGCTTTCAGCTCAGGGTGGGTGTGATCCTGGAGTCCCGGGACTGAGTCCCACATCGGGCTCCCTGCGAGGAGTCTGCTTCTCCCTCTGTGTCTCTGCCTCTCTCTCTGTGTCTCTCACGAATAAATAAATAAAATATTAAAAAAATAAATAGATAAAACAAAAAACCTGTTTTAATTACATGTATGAGCCACACCTTGCAGCAATCTGATAGGACAAAGGAGGACAGGGCATCCCTAAAAGAGACCAGGATACACCCTAGCTGCAGGCAGGTAATTGGCTCAGAGTATTGGCTCTAGGAACTCGCATCGATGGGAGGGGACATCCATGCTGGAGGTAGCCAAAGACAACCAGCTAGCAGAGCTCTGGTATCTCCTGGACAGCAGATAGAGGTAGTTGATGCTGGTTAATGTTTAGCTGGTATTCATTCAATCAGTGCATATGCGTTCAGTGTCCACTGTGTGCACTGTTCTAGGCTCTGAGGATCCAGCAATGGACAGATGCTCAACCACTGAGCCACCCAGGCGTCCCTAGTTAGTAATTTTGGAGGGAAAAGTACACATTGATCCTTATTTGATACCATAGATATTTAAAGGGAGACAGAACATAAAGACTTCTAACTCTGGGAAATGAACTAGGGGTGGTGGAGGGGGAGGAGGGCGGGGGGTGGGGGTGAATGGGTGACGGGCACTGAGGGGGACACTTGACGGGATGAGCACTGGGTGTTATTCTGTATGTTGGTAAATTGAACACCAATAAAAATTAATTTATTAAAAAAATAATAATAAATAAAATAAAATAAAATCCAATTTTGACTTTTAAAACTCAACTTATTGAGGGGCACCTGGCTGGCTCAGTCAGAAGAGTGTGCAACTCTTGATCTTGGGGTTGTGAGTTCGAGCCCCATGTTGCATGTAGAGATTACTTAAAAACATATAAATAGGGGATCCCTGGGTGGCTCAGCGGTTCGGCGCCTGCCTTTGGCCCAGGGTGCGATCCTGGAGTCCCAGGATCGAGTCCCGCATCAGGCTCCCGGCATGGAGCCTGCTTCTCCCTCCTCCTGAATCTCTGCCTCTCTTTCTCTCTATGCCTATCATAAAAAAAAAATAAATCTTAAAAAAAAAAAACATATAAATAGGGATGCCTGGGTGGCTCAGTGGTTGAGCATCTGCCATCAGCTCAAGTTGTGATCCCGGGGTCCTGGGATTGAGTCCCACATCGGGCTCCCTTCGAGGAGCCTGCTTCTCCCTCTGCCTATGTCTCTGCCTCTCTCTCTCTCTCTCATGAATGAATAAATAAAATCTTTTGGTGCACAGGGGTGGGGTGGGGTGACTGGGTGATGGGCACTGAGGGGGGCACTTGACGGGATGAGCACTGGGTGTTAAGCTATATGTTGGCAAATTGAACTCCAATAAAAAAGTATTAAATTTAGATCAAAATGGCAAAAGTAAAGGAAAATCATAATGTTACTTGCATTATTTGATAGAAACATATCACATTTTTTGTTGTCATTTTCAATAAAAACAAGTTTTTACTGGCACTAAATCAGTTTGGAAAAAAATCTTTTAAAAATTAAACCTTTAGGGATCCCTGGGTGGTGCAGCGGTTTGGCACCTGCCTTTGGCCCAGGGCGCGATCCTGGAGACCCGGGATCAAATCCCATGTCAGGCTCCCGGTGCATGGAGCCTGCTTCTTCCTCTGCCTATGTCTCTGCCCCTCTCTCTCTCTCTGGCTATCATAAATAAAAATAAAAAAAGAAAAAAAAAATTAAACCTTTAAAAACCAATTTATGCAAAAATTAAAGAGAACAAATTATTTTGAAGTTATGGGTAAGGAGATTCACTTTCCAGGCATAGAAACAATATAAGAAAAAGCAGAGGATGGGGCAGCCCTGGTGGCTCGGCAGTTTAGCACCGCCTTCAGCCCAGGGCGTGATCCTGGAGACCCGAGATCGAGTCCCATGTCAGGCTCCCTGCATGGAGCCCGCTTCTCCCTCGGCCTGTGTCTCTGCCTCTCTCTCTCTGTGTCTCTCATGAATAAATAAATAAAATCTTTTTAAAAAATTTAAAAAAAAAGCAGAGGAAAAAAATCAGATTGACTTGTTAAGATCTTCACTCCTTAGGTCTGTGTCTTTTTTTTTTTAAGATTTTATTTATTTATTCATGAGAGACAGAGAGAGAGAGAGAGCTATGGCTGATATCAGAGAAATTACTCTCTGTCCTCTCTTCAATGATTTTTATCGTTTCAGGTCTCTCATTTAGGTCTGTAATTCATTTTCAGCTTATTTTTGTGTGTGATGTAAGAAAGGGGTCCAGTTTCATTATATTGCATGTAACTGTCCAGTTTTCTCAACACTTTTTTTTTTAAAGATTTTATTTATTCATGATAGTTACACACACAGAGAGAGAGAGAGGCAGAGACACAGGCAGAGGGAGAAGCAGGCTCCATGCACCGGGAGCCCGATGTGGGATTCGATCCCCGGTCTCCAGGATCGCGCCCCGGGCCAAAGGCAGGCGCCAAACCGCTGCGCCACCCAGGGATCCCTCAACACCATTTTTTGAGCAGACTTTCTCCTATCATATGTTCAATCCTCACTTATCGAAGATTAATTGACCATGTAATTGTGGGTTCATTTTCTGTTCTATTCCATTGATCTATATGTCTCTTTTTATGTCAGTACCATATTGTTTTAATTACTACAGCTTTGTAATATAACTTGAAGTCTGGAATTATGGTACCTCCAGTTTTGTTTTCCTTTTTCAAGATTGCTCAGGGTCTTCTGTGGTTCCATACAAATTTTAGGAATGTTTGTTCTAGCTATGGGAAAAATCCTGTTGCTGTTTTGATGGGGATTGTGTGAAATCTGTAGATTGCTTTGGGTAGTATGGACATTTTAATATTTGTTCTTCCAACCCATAAGCATGGAATGTCTTTCCATTTCTTTGTATCATCTTGAATTTCTTTCTTTCATCAGCGTTTTACAGTTTTCAGAGTACAGGTCTTTCACCTCTTTGGTTAAGTTTGTTCCTAGATATTTTATTGTTTTGGTGCAATAGTAGATGGAATTGTTTTCTTAATTTCACTTTCTGCTGTTTCATTATTAGTGTATAGGAATGCAACAGATTTCTGTACATTGGTTTTATATCCTGCAACTTTACTGAATTCATTTACCAGCTCTTGTAGTTTTTTGGTGGAGTCTTTAGGATTTTCTCTATATAGTATTATGCCATCTGCAAATACTGAGAGTTTTACTTCTTCCTTACCAATTTGAATGCCTTTTATTTCTTTATGTTGTCTAACTGCTGTGGCTAGGACTTCCAGTACTGTGTTGAATAAAAGTGGTGAGAGTGGACATCCTTGTCTTATTCCTGACCATGGTGGAAAAAGCTCTCAGTTTTTCTCCATTGAGTATAATGTTGGCTGTGAGTTTTTCATATGAAGCCTTTATTATGTTGAGATATGTCCCCAGCAAGGCCAAAGCAACTTGCCCAAGGTCATTCAGTTTGTGAATGGTAGTGCCAGGCCTCAAAGCCAGGTTGTCTGAAAAAGTCCGTGTCTTAACCATAAGGATATACTATTGCCTGTGAACGTACCATACAACATAACAAAAAATGAACAACCAAGAGGCTAGATCTGTGATATAAAAGACCATCACTAAGTCTCAGTGGATTAAAAAAATGGAGAACACGAGCAAATAATTCACTTGGGAGGAAATGCAGCTTGTTTGTGAACCCTGTTGTAGCTAGAAGCTTATCTAACTCTCCCTCACGCTACCAAGTCCCCCAGTCCTGGCCCCCATCCCAACCCCAGGGGCCCAAAGCACTCATCTCTCCCTGCTGTGCTTCACCAGTGAGGTCATGAAGACTTTGCAGTGGGGACCCCCTTCAGCCCAAGATCCCACACTTACATGATCAGCTACATTGGTCTGGCCTCCTGCATGGATGAGGGCTCGGGCCACGTCCTCGGAGCCACCAAGGGCCGCGTAGTGGAGGCAGCTCTGTTTTTTCTAGAGGAAACAGGCAACAGTACAAGGTCCTAAATGCTCCTCACAGTGAGGCTTTGGGATGCATTATTCCATTTGTGTCTCATGACCCCCAGGACTATTACCCCCATTGAGCCCTGAGGCTGGAGAAATCAATGCCTTGCCCAGGCCTGGTGACTAGTAAAATGAGCTCACTGTGGTCTCGGCTTTTCCTCACCTCCTGTCACAAACTCGAGAACATACATGAAAGCCAGCACAATTCCTAGGCTGGTGAAGACATGCAGAGTATACTCTGAGGTTTTCAAAGAGGGGAACACATAAGATTTACCAGTACAGAGCAAACCCCACCTGGCATACACTGCCCCGCTGGAGCTGGTCTCGGCATGTCTGGGCAGGAGCCTAGCAGCGCCAGAGCAAGGGCTTCATCCCCATGGGCCTTCTAAGTGCTCTCAGTCAGAGCCCACCCCTGGCCAAACAAGGATCTCACGTGAGATATCCCACTCTACCAGGCAGATCTCGCCAGGTGACCAACTGTCCCAGGCTGCCCAGACTGGTCCTCAGGACTTCCAGTTTTAAAACCAAGACAGTATGGGGCAAACTGGGATGAGCTGGTCACCTTCCCAAAGTCCTATCTGAGCTGAGTGCCCAGGGTGAGTGAGTGTGAACTAGTCCATCTCCCAATGGGAAATGTAATCACTTTGGGTTAGCCCCACCTTCAGAAACCCTGCAAGGGGTGAGGGTGTCCAGATAGAACATGCCCTCTGCCAGAAACCTCAAGCCAAGGCTAGAGCACAAGGCCCAGCGCAGTGGGCAGTTCCAGCCCTGCCAATGACCACCAGCAGGATATGACCTCCCCAGTCTCTAAACCCCTATGCTGTTACTGCTGGGGAGATGGCCTTGACATTTCACTTCTTTTATCCCTCCCAGTCCTGAACCCTGTGCTGGACACACAGGAAGAGCTGCCAACCAAAGAGCAACATAGAGCAGTTGGAAGGACACAGTTGGGTGCCCTGGGGCAGCTACTTTCTCCCTCTGGGTGGACCTCAGTGTCATTCTGACACCCTGGGGCAGTTAGGGAAGTTCTGCAAATTAAGCATTTTGTGATTTATAAAGTATTACTCACATTTAGGAGAGTTTAACATTGATATTATTATTGAATTTACATTTGCCATTTTGCTACTTCTTTTCTTTTTTGTTCTGTTTCTCCTTGACTGTCTTCTTCTTCTTCTTCTTCTTCTTCTTCTTCTTCTTCTTCTTCTTCTTCTTCTTCTTCTTTCTTCTTTTTAAGATTTTATTTATTCATGAGAGACAGAGAGAGGGGCCGAGACACAGGCAGAGGGAGAAGTAGGTTCTCTGCAGGAGCTCGATGTGGGACTCATCCCAGGCTCTGGGATCATGCCCTGAGTCAAAGGCAGACGCTCAACCACTGAGGCACCCAGGCGTCCCTTGACTGCCTCCTTTTGTGTTAAATATTTTTAGCATACTATTTTAATTCCTGGGCTTTTAAACTATTTTTGTTATTATACTTTATTTATTATCATTATTGCTTTCTTACTGAAATTTAGAACAGAGAATTCCAGACCCTGAAGCCATTCAAATCAGCCAGGAAAGATTATTTGTCATTGATCTAAAAGTAAAAAGCAGAACAAAACAAAAATACTAATGCCCTACCTAAAGAAGGCCACAACACCCTTTGCAGGACACAGAGAGAATTTCCGATAGCTGACTTACGGAGTACAGTAGTGAGAGAGAAAAGAGGCCTGTCCCAGGCCCCAGCTCTGAGGGCTGGTGTGGCCTTTGCACAGTCAGGGCAAAGCTTCCAGGCCATGAGCTCTGGACTCCAGGGAATAGGCTTTTCAGACTCAGCTTTGCTTCTTGCCAGCTTGTGATCCGCAAAAGTCACTGAATCTCTCTAAGCTTCCGTTTCTTCATCAGTAAAACAGGGGTATTTATTCCTCGCAGCAATGTCAAAACGTGACTCTGAGCCTGGGTGGCTCAGTGGCTAAGTGCCTGCCTTCGGCCCAGGGCGTGATCCTGGGGACCTGGGATCGAGTCCCACGTCAGGCTCCCTGCATGGAGCCTGCTTCTCCCTCTGCCTGTGTCCCTGCCTCTTTCTCTGTGTTTCTCTCATGAATAAATATATAAAATCTTTAAAAAAAAAAAAAAACTGACTCCATAGCACCCCCATTTTATAGTTGGGCAATGAGGCCAGAGAATTTAAGTGACTTGCCTTTGGTCACAGAGCTCAGCAGTGGAGAAGCCAAGACCAGATCCCAGGCCTGCTGCCCCAGGGCCCCTATTCACACACGTGCAGGAACCACTGTGGCTGCTACCGTTGACATGGTTAGGGTTAGAGGTCAGAAGCCAAGGGCAGACATCCGTCCCGGGGAGGACTGATTACCTGGGTGAGGGCGTTTACACTGCTCCCAGCCTCGAGGAGCAGCTGCACACAGTCCGCGTGGACGCCTTCAGCTGCTGCGTGCAGGGCAGTCAGACCCTCCTGAAACACACAGAGCAATGAGGATGGCAGGGAGGCCGAGGCCAACCCCTGGGACGAGAGGGACCTCTTGGTCCACGGCTGCAGGGTTCTTGAGCTCCCCACTGCCATGCAACTGAGGACAATACCCTGGGTTACTATTTGTGGTTCCCTGAGCCCGGTACCTGATTTTCTCATGTTGAGGAGCATGTGGGACATCTGCTCCCACCTCTGCATCCCTGCTCATGTTCTCACCCTCCAAGCTGCCTCACCCCTGCTCTCTGTCTATTCCTTCTTATTTCAGAAGCTTCTAGCAGGGGGAAATCAGGCTGCACCTCAGTCTGTGGGTTCCTCAAAAACAGGGAGCTAGCGAGCATCACCCATCTCTGCATCCTCTGGGTGGTGACTCACCGTGTTCTGCTCCTCCAGGTCCAGCCTGATGTCCACGAGTCGCTGCAGCACAGCCAGATGGCCCCGGCTGGCAGCCAGGTGAAGGGCTGTATTCCCCTCCTGTGGGTAGAAGGGCTCCCGAGGGACCAGTAGAATCATAGACCCTTGAGGTCCCTGGGGACCTGCTGGCAATGCCCCTCATTTTACAGACATGGAAGCTGAGGTCCAGAGAGGGGGAAGTGACACATCTAGAGTCACAGAGCAGGTCTGAAAATCTACAGCCCTGAACACTGGGCCAATGTCTCCCTGCACCTGAGAAGTGGGCCCCAAACCATACAACCAGGGGCACTTCGAAGTGCCAAGTCCTAGTCTCTCCTTATACTTGAAGACAGACACAATACTTGGGGGGAAAATCCCTACTTTCAATGTCCCTGTCTAAAGCCAGTCCCTCCTTGAGCCATCCTAGGTCCATCCCTCCCCCTGCTCAAGGCCACAGCTCCAAGGACTCTCTGCACTCAGATTATGCCCAGGCAGCCAGCCGTGTGGCCCAGTTCAAGATGGTAGCTTCACACTGAATAGTGTGGCCATGCTGACCACACTATTCAAAACTGCAACTCCAGGGTGCCTGGGTGGCTCAGTCAATTAAGCATCTGCCTTCACCTTAGGTCATGATCTCAGGGTCCTGGGATCAAGCCCTGCTCAGTGGAAAGTCTGCTTCTCCCTCTCCTTCCGCCCCTCCCCTGACTTGGGCTACTGCTCTCACTCTCTCTCAAATAAATACATAAAATCTTTTTAAAAAATAAAATGAAATAAAACTGCAACTCCCACCCTTGTTCTCCTGACCCCCTGATCCTGCTCCATTTTTCTTTTTTTTTAAGATTTATTTATTTATTTATTTATTTATTTATTTATTCATAGAGATGCATAATGAGAGAGAGAGAGGCAGAGACACAGGCAGAGGGAGAAGCAGGCTCCAGGTAGGGAGCCTGATGTGGGACTCAATCCTAGGACTCCAGGATCATGCCCCGGGCTGCAGGCGGCGCTAAACCGCTGCACCACTGGGGCTGCCCCCCTGCTCCATTTTTCTTTCCCTCTTCTCCTGAAGCATTGATAACCTAACACTATAATTTGCTTGTACACTATGCTTATTGTTTATTGTGTGACTCTTCCTGCTAGAACACAAACACCCAAAGCACAGGGATTTCTGTCTATTTGGTTCTCAGATGTTTCCCCAAGTGCCTAGAATAGGGCCTGGGGCACATGGCAGACATTCAATAAAATATTTGTTCAATGAGTGAATGCTTGATGGAGAGACTGACGTGTGTCTCCTGGAACTTGAGAGCCATAGGGCTGGTAGTTATCTCACACCTGAGAAGTCTAAAAGTGACAGTGACAGAGCCAAGAGAGGTGGCTCTACTGGGTGTGGCAAAACGGCACACTGTTCTTTGTATCAGAAGAGGCTCTTGCCAGAGGGCAGCCTGGTGGGGTTGTCCTTAAAGGGATATTTCTGCAGGGGTGCCTGGGTGGCTCAGTGGGTTAAGCGTCCAACTCTTGATTTCAGCTCAGGTCATGATCCCAGGGTCATGAGATTGAGCTCCATGTCTGGCTCTGAGCTTGGCAGGGAGTCTGTTTCCTTCCCTCTCCCTCTGTCCCTCCCTCTCCCCTCTAAAAATAAATCTTAAAAAAAGGGGGGGGACTTTCTGCAAAGGACAAGTGGATGATGAGGACAAGAGGAAGAGAGCTGGGATCCCTGGGTGGCGCAGCGGTTTGGCACCTGCCTTTGGCCCAGGGCGCGATCCTGGAGACCCGGGATCGAATCCCACATCAGGCTCCCGGTGCATGGAGCCTGCTTCTCCCTCTGCCTGTGTCTCTGCCTCTCTCTCTCTCTCTGTGACTATCATAAATAAATAAAATAAAATAATTTTTTAAAAAAAAAGAGGAAGAGAGCTGGAAGGGGCCAGCCAGAGAAGTATGTCCCTAAGGAAGAACCACACATGGATAACCAGAGCAGAGGCTCTTGAGGGAACCTGCAAAATCATCAGAAGGCCAGCTTTAGCGATCATCATACCCAGAAGGGCTCTAGGACAGATTTAGCTACACCAGTTGTGAGGGCTTCTAGCTCAAGGTCTTTTCCTCTGCCCTGGCCTGTCTCAGCACCTTCCTAAGGAAGGAATCAAGACATTCACATTAGGCCAGAAGTCTTCAGGGCCCCATGAGGGGATGAACATATTCTGATGCCAAAGCAGTACTTAAAGCAGTTATAGACATACCTCATGATAATCCATACATACATAAAACAACTATATCTTATGGGATAGAAGAGGAAACATTTATATTTCTTCTATGATCATTACCATCTTGTGTTAATAAATAAAAGTTAAGTTTAAAACAAACCCCTTTGGGGATCCCTGGGTGGCACAGCGGTTTGGCGCCTGCCTTTGGCCCAGGGCGCGATCCTGGAGACCTGGGATCGAATCCCATGTCGGGCTCCCGGTGCATGGAGCCTGCTTCTCCCTCTGCCTGTGTCTCTGCCTCTCTCTCTCTCTCTCTCTCTCTGACTATAATAAATAAATAAAATAAATCTTTAAAAAAATAAAACAAACCCTTTCTCTCTGCCCTGATAGCACTCTCACAAACATAGCCAACATTCCTAAAACCTGCAGGACTTTCTGCAAGAAGTGTGGCAAACACCAACCCTACAGAGTGACACAGTACAAGAAAAGCAAAGATTCTCTTTATGTCCAGGGAAAGCAGCATTATGACAGGAAGCAGAGTGGCTAAGGTGGGCAGACAAAGCCAATTTTCTGAAAAAAGCCTAAAACTACAAAGAAGATTGTGCTGAGGCTTGAATGTGTTGAGCCCAACTGCAGATCTAAGAGAATGCTGACTATTAAGAGATGCAAGCATTTTGAACTAAGAGGAGATAAGAAGAGAAAGGACCAAGTGATCCAGTTCTAAGCTTCATATTTTGTTATGAAGACAATAAAATCTTGAGATTATGTTCAAAAAATAAAATAAAATAAAATGATCCCCTCAACGACAACAACAAAATGTACCCTCAACAGCTTTGCTAGCTCCTTTCCCACTCTCCCTGCAGATGTGTGCACAGCTGCCTAACAACTGCAAGCAAGGACCAGGCTGTGGGGAGGTAGCCATGGTGTAAAGTCTGCATTCAAGGAAACAAAGGAAGTGGTAAACCATGAGGGCCCAATACCTACCCCGAGGTAGCAAGGCTGCGGAGATGGAGGAGGCGGGCAGGTTTTGTTTTCCTCCTGGGAAGGGCCCCAGGTGGCTCAGTGAGTTACGCATCTGCCTTCGGCTCAGGTCATGTTCCCAGGGTCCTGGGATTGAGCCCTACCTGCATAGAACTCCCTGCTCAGTGGGGAGTCAGCTTGTCCAGCTCCCTCTGCTCCACCCCCCCCCTTTCTTTTTTAAAGATTTTATTTATTTATTCATAGAGACACAGAGAGAGAGACAGAGACACAGGCAGAGGGAGAAGCAGGCACCATACAGAAAGCCTGACATGGGACTCGATCCCGGGCCTCCAGGATCACGCCCTGGGCTGCAGGCGGCGCTAAACCGCTGCGCCACCAGGGCTGCCCTCCCTCTGCCCTTCATGCTGGTTCTCTCTCTCTCCTCTCTCAAATAAATACATAAAATCTTTAAGTAAATAAATATCCACATCTTGCTCTTTGAAGGTGCGGGTGGCACAGACCCCCTAACAGAGCATTCTCACTCTATCTGAGCAAGGCAGGGATTTCCGAGGCAGGAGAACCGGGCAGAAGGAGGCCATAGCATTGGGCAGAGTGTCCTCTCCTCTCCTGTGAGGATGTCCAGCCTCTCCACTTCTGGGATGCCTTATCAGCAGCTCTTCAATGTTCCCAATGGACTTAATCACTCCCTCTGGGCTCTCAAAGCCTCCCTGACATCATAACACCTGTGGCATGCCCTGTGTTGTCATGGGTTCTCACAGTCCATCTTAGCAGGCTGTGGGGTCCTAGCAGGAGTCAGACCTTCAGTGGCCCAGAGCCTTGAAAAGCATATTACTACGCCTCCCACCCAATGAAATTCAAAGTGAAAACACTTTTCAGCTGCAAATACAAAACTTAAAGGGGCATGCAATTTTTTAAAAAGATTTTTTTTAATTCATTTAAGAAAGAGAGAGAGACATCATGAGCGGAGGGGAGAGGCAGAAGCAGATTCCCTGCTGAGCAGGGAGCCCAATGCAGGGCTTGATCCCAGGACCTTGGGATCATGACCTAAGCCAAAGGCAGACACTTAACGGACCAAGCCATGTAGGTGTCAAGAGGGGCATGCAATTTTAAAAGCTTCTTTCTAGAATTTCTGACTACAAGATTTTGGGTAAGCTCATCAAAATTGGGCTTTGCTTGTTTTCCAGTTTTGGTGCTTCTACCATCCTGGCCCCCTGAACATGATCATGTTTTTAACTCCTAGGTAGATGCGTCCTGGCAGGGGCTGTCCTTTACTCCTCTCTGTACTCCCAGTTCCTGGCTCACAGCCTAGCTCAGAGCATGACCTGCTCGGCCCATGTTTCCAGAATGAAGGCAATCAACCTGATCTGATCCGCAGGACCAAAAGGATGAGTGTGCACAACTGGATTCGGTGCAAACCCCCAGAGCTTAATGCCCAGGAGGCAACTTAAAGAGAGGGAGCAACCCAGGGCTGCGCATCAGGCTGCTGGTTCCAAACCAGGCTCAACTTTTATCTTGCTGTGTGACCTTGGCTAAAGGCCTTTGGAATCCCCTCTTTGGACCTCAGTTTCCACAACTATAAAATGAGAAATGTTGAACAGGTCCTCAAGGCAGGACACTTCCAATTCTAAGACCCTGTGGTACATTTGTCTGTGACCCTGTCACTAGCTTATAAGTAGAACTCTATCCTGACCTAGTGTATTAATCAGAAGATTAATAATGCAGTTTGTCCCTTTACTGGAAGCACTGTTTAGAATTTGCTGCAACATACTTGGCTCACATTCACAAGGCTCACGGACATGAATCATTTACAGGGCAGTCCCCTTAGGCCCAGCCCTCCTCTTCCTCAGATTAGTGATATCCTGCTTGTAAACTCTCCACCCCCAATGAACTGCTTCCTCCTCTGGGCTCTCATCCTATTTTTACCATAACCATAGTAGATAACTAAATGACAAAGAAAGTAAATAACCAGCAGGCTTGCTACCACCACCCCCTGACTCTTCCCCTCACCCCCAACAATAGACAGCCCCAGGGGCATGACATTCCTGCTCAAACCCATCCCAGGCAGCACCACCAGCTGATAGATTTGCCATCCTGGCTCCCCATATCTGATCACAGCCTTCTACTAGGGTTGCAGCTCAGATTCCTTGAGTGAAAAACTGTGTCTTAGATATTGTTGTGTTCCTCAGGGGCAGCATGGACTGGGCCCATAGCGCGAGCTCGAAAAATCGCTGCTGGGTGAACATCGGACACTCTGGTTCTTGAGCCACTGGCCCTCCAGCATGCTGAAGTCAAAAGTAGGCACAGGTAAGCTGCCAGCACCCACCCTGGTCAGGAGCCCAGAGCTTGGACCTGCCCTGGGACCCAGTGACAGTACCTTGTCTTTCACACTGTGGTCACAGCCAGAGCCCACAAGGAAGTCCAGAGCATCCAGCTGCCCATGCTCAGCAGCCCGGTGAAACGCTGTCCTTCCCAGCTGCCCAGGGAGGGGAAGAAAGTGACCCTTCTGCACCCTGTAGTAGGCATGCCCACCCTGCCCACCTAGCCAACCACTCAGGGCTTGCAAGGGCCTCTCCTGCCCCAGAACTCTCCCTGGCCCCCTCATTCTACACACCTTCCCTAGAAAGCCCAGCCCCAACTTTCCAGCAAGACCTACTATGTGGGGTCTCTACCCCACTGAAATCCTTCTGTGGTTCCTTGCTGCCTACTGAATAAAGGACAGATTTCTGAGACTTGAAGTCGGTGGAGATTCCCATGAGGGGCTCCCACCAACCCTCTGGCTCTCGCTCCCAAAATTCCAGTCCATCTGAACTCACATGCAAAGGGCCCCTTTCCACCTCTAAAGCTCTAACAATGTTCTCCTCTCTATTTACAAAACCTCCCTGCTTTGTAATCTTACCAACAAAATCCAGTTCATTCACTAACTGCCACCTCCTTTAGAAGGCAGAAAGGAGTGGCTCTGTCTGGTTAGTCCTTATCAGCACCTATCTGGGGGAACAGACCATTTCCTTCCTGTGTCCTGCTCATTTGTGCCCTATTACCCCTTCTAGACCAGCAGTTCCCTAAGGTGGGGCCCAGTCAGTACTAGCTCAAAGGATGCATTCAAAGAATGGGCAGGAGTAGCCCTAGGAACCCCAAACCCAACGGGAAGGACAAACAGCCTTGAGGCCACTCTCACCTTGTCAGCACGATCCAGGGGCACATCCTCCAGATCCTCCATTATGAATGCCAGCACCGGCACGTGGCCTTTTTGTGCCGCACAGTGAAGTAAGGTGAAGCCGTCCTGGAAACAAGACCAGGGTGGTCCCTATCTCTATGAAGGGAGGTTGTTTCTCACACACTGACTGTCCCCCAGATGGTGAGTGTTTGCAACCCAGAACACAGCTTTGCCATGGAAACAACACAGCACAGAAATGGAGATGGGCCCCCTGGGGAGGTGCCTACTCAGCTTCACAGGGACTGGTGGGAGTAAGGATGCCAGAGTTCAAATCCCAGCTCCAGCATTTATGAGCAATTCAGTGTGGTCTAGACCAAGTTATCTGTACCTCCATGAGCCTCTATTTTTCTCCAGGTCAAAGTAACCTGTGACTACCTCAGTGGGTGACTGAGGGGGGTTGTACAGCATCACTTACAGGAAGTTTTTTTATGCACTGAAAAACAACTCAGGATGTAAGGTGAGGCTGTATAGCAGTAACAGTCCCCAGGATACACCCCCCCCCCATCAATACACTGTTATAAAGTTGTAACCACTGCTTGCCTTGATACAGCCCCAAATGAAAAACGAGGTGACTAAGGGCCCAGTATCTGTCTCTAGGAGGTCACCTTCTAACCTGGGGAGAACTGAGAACTGATGGGGTCTGCAGGGACTAGGATGTGTTAAAAAGCAAATAGATCCACAATGGAGTCACTTGTGCTAAGGTCCACCCACATCACCAAACTGAAACTCTTTTTTTTTTTTTTAAGATTTTATTTATTTATTCATGAGAGACACAGAGAGAGGCAGAGACATAGGCAGAGGGAGAAGCAGGCTCCCTGAGGGGATCCTGATGTGGGACTCAATCCCAGGACCCCAGATCATGACCTGAGCCGGAGGTAAATGCTCAACCACTGAACCACCCAGGCATCTCCAAAACAGAGACTTAATACCAGACAAATTGCAGCTGCAGCCTCTCAAATAAGTACTCTTAACCTGTGAGTCTGGAATTTCCTGGTAAACACTAGGGAAGAGGTCCACCTGACAGACGCCACCACCCCCCGCTGGTCCCCAAAGGAAAGTGATCTTGCCTAAAATAATCCACTTTTTGCTAGAATAACTTCCTTACCCCACTTCCTTTTGCCTATAAAAGTCTTTCATCTTGTACAGCTCCCCAGAGCTCCTATTTGCCACATGGGATGCTGCCCAATTCATGAATCATTGAATAAGGCCAATTGGATCTTTAAATTTACTCACTTGAATTTTGTTCTTTAACAGAGGGGAGTGGCCAGAGTCGGGAGAAGGGTAGGCAGGAAGAAGGTCTCTTGGCCCCACAAGCAATATTTAAGTGAGGGAGGTTTACAAATCCTATGTTTGTAGCCTAGAGCTTCTACCAAGGCCTTGCATTATAGCTAGATTGTTTGGAGCACTGTTTTTCAACTAGGTTGCAACCATTGATGGTCATAAAAATCATGATGTTGTACATCTGGACAGTGGTTTGGATTACACTGGAGTAAAATTTGTCAAGTCTCAGTGAATATAAACTTAAGATTTGTGTATTTCATCGTGGGTAAAGAAATTCATGTTATGCATGCTGAAGTATTTAGAAGGAAGTATAGTGATGTCTGTAATTTATTTTGAAATGCTTCCAAAATTTACAAAGAACTCTCAAAGCTCATCAATGAGATATTAAACAACCCAATTAAAAAATCATTTTGACGCAAAGAAGATACATGGATGGCAAATAAGCACATGAAAAGATTATCTAACATCATTAGTCAGTATTTTTTTTAATATTTTTATTTATTTATTCATAGAGACACAGAGAGAGAGAGAGGCAAAGACACAGGCAGAGGGATAAGCAGGCTCCATGCAGGGAACCCGATGTGGGACTCGATCCCAGGTCTCCAGGATCACACCCTGGGCTGCAGGCGTTGCTAAACCGCTGTGCCATCCGGGCTGCCCCATTAGTCAGTATTGAAATGCAAATTAAAACCACAAAGAGCAAAAAAATGCTACCATTATGGTGGAGAAAACTGGCCGACACCCGCTTTAACCATGTGATCGAGAGTGAGCTTATGGTTTATTTTTTTTTTTTTTGATAGTCAACAATGAAGAGGAGCGACTAAGAAACTGGAGCTGGACCGCCTCGGCTCAAGGCAGCCAATGCGCACCAGATTTATGGTTTATTATAAGAAATATGTATTTGAGGGGCACCTGGATGGCTCAGTGCCTTTAGCTCAGGTCATGATCCCGGGGTCCTGGGATCCAGTCCTATATCAGGCTCCTCGCAGGTAGCCTACTTCTCCCTCTGCCTCTCTCTGTGTCTCTCATGAATAAATAAATGAAATCTTTAAAAAGAAAAAAAAGTAAAAGAAATGTGTATTTGGTCTTCGTCCCGTTTTGGGCATAGAGCTCCTGAAATGCTTGGAATTTTCTAAGTGTATAGAGTGATTAAAGTGTCTATTGTTATGTTAATTTGATGACAAGGGAAGCCCAAGGTAACCTAGAGATGGGGGCTGGTTGCCTGGGAAACCAACTTGATTAGAGGATTAGAATTTTCCATCCCACCCCCTGACCTCCAGGGAGGGGAGAGAGGCTGGAGGTTGAGTCAATCCCCAAAGATCGGGGATTTAATCTATCCTGTCTATGAAATGAAGCATCATAAGAATGTAAATGGACAGGGTCGGAAGAACTTTCAGGTTGGTGAACAAGAACGTGTCCACGTGCCTGGTCCCACACTCCACAAGCTCAAAAGTTCCTTTGTTTGGGGCCTCATCCTATGTGTCTCTTCATCTGGCTATTGATTTGTGTCCTTTAATATCTTTTGTAATAAATTTGTGATCTAGTAAGTTCTGTGAGCCGCTCTAGCAAATTAACCAAACCCAAGGAGGAGGTTGTGGGAACCTCTTATTCATAACCAGTTGGTGAAAAGTCGAGGTAACAGCCTGGATTTGGGACTGGCTTCTGAAGTAGGGGAGGCCTTGTGAGACTGAGCCCTTAACCAGTGGTATCTGGTGCTCTCTCCAGGCAGATAGTGTTAGAATTGAGTTAAATGTGTGGAATACCCAGTTAGTGTCCATGGAAAATTTAACTAATTGCTTGGTGATAAGGAAAAAACACACACATTGGAACTGGTATCAGTATTGAATCAAGATAGGGACGCCTGGGTGGCTCAGTGGTTGAGCAGCTGACTTCAGCTCAGGACATGATCCCAAGGTCCTGGGATCTAGTCCCACATCAGGCTTCCTGCAGGGAGCCTGCTTCTCTCTCTGCCTGTGTCTCTGCCTCTCTCTCTCTCTCTCTCTGTGCTCTGTGTGTGTGTGTCTCTCATGAATAAATAAATAAAATCTTAAAAAGAAAAAAAAAAGAATTGGATCAAGGTAACGCCACCAGTGACAGGCCATATTGGTATTGATAAAGTTAATTCTTATATCGAGATCTACAAAATAGAGGCTGCCCCAGTGACCTGGCCCAGGGCAGGAAACTAAATCTACCTCAGGGGCACCTGGGTGACGTCTATCTTTGGTGCATTGTTGGTGGGAATGAAAATTGGTGCGGCCACTCTGGAAAACAGTGTGGAGGTTCCTCAAGAAGTTAAAAATAGAGCTATCCTATGACCCAGCAATTGCAATACTGTGTATTTACCCGAAAGATACTGATGTAGTGAAACGGCAGGACACCTGCACCCCAATGTTTATAGCAGCAAAGTCCACAATAGCCAAACTGTGGAAGGAGCCACTATGTCCTTCCACAGATGAATGGATAAAGAATAGAATATTACTCAGCCATCAGAAAAGACAAATACCCACCATTTGCTTCCATGTGGATAGAATTGGAGGGTATTGTGCTGAGTGAAATAAGTCAATCAGAGAAGGACAATCATCATATGGTTTCATTCATGTGTGGAGTAAAGAAATAGTGAAAGGGATTATAAGGGAAAGGAGGGAAATAAGTGAGAAAAATTAGAGAGGGAGCAAACCATGACAGACTCCTAACTCTGGCAAAAAAAGAGTTGAGGAAGGGGAGGTGGTTGGGGGAATGGGGTAACTGGGTGATGGGCACTAAGGAGGCACTTCATGAGATGAGCATTGGGTGTTATACTATTTGTTGGCAAATTTAATTTAAATAAAATTAATTAAAATGTTAAACAACAACAACAACAACAAAAACCCCAAAGGTCTGTCTTTGGCTCAAGTCATGATCTCAGAGTCCTGGTATTCAGCCCTGAGTCAGGCTCCCTGCTCAGCAGGGAATCTGCTCCTCCCTCTCCCTCAGCTCCCAGCTCCCCCACCCCAGCTCATGCCCTCAATCTCTCTCTCTCAAACAAATTAATTAATTAATAAAAATAAATCCACCTCAGCCTGCACTTAGTTTTCACTGTCATTGGACAGTGTCCTATGACCCCTGATAGGAGGCAGTGAATCTCTGGTTTTCTTTCCCAAATTCCATAACCCCAATTTAATCATGAGAAAAATATCAAAGGAGCCCAAATTGAAGGACATTCTACAAAATGCCCAACAGTACTCCTCAAAAGTGTCAAGGTTGTGAAAAACAAGTCAAGACTGAGAAACTGTCATAAGATCAGAGGAGACTAAGGAGAGACAAGGTAACCAACTACTTTGGAGGATATTAATGGGAAAATTGCTGAAATTCTAACACAGCCTATAGTTTAGTAAAACTCTAGATATCGAGCAGCCCGGTGGCTCAGCGGTTTAGCACCGCCTTAAGCCCAGGGCCTGATCCTGGAGACGCGGGATTCAGTCCCACATCGGGCTCCCTGTGTGGGGCCTGCTTCTCCCTCTGCCTGTGTCTCTGCCTCTCTCTCTCTCTCATTCTCTCTGTATCTCTCATTAACAAATAAAATCTTAAAAAAAAAAAAAAAAAACTCTAGATATCACCAGCGCCTGGCAAAGTAGAGCCAGGTGAATAGCAGAGAAAAAGAAAGCTCCAGGGCTAAACCAACTGTGGCCTAGCCATGGCTTGGCTCAAGGCTCCTCTGCAAGGGAGATGGAGACTTCTAGGAAGGATCCTGAACAAGGGATAGAAAGGTAGTTGGATGGTCTCCTTGCAAAGATGGCCACAACCACTCCTCCCACCCCTGGAAACAGCCAAAGCAATAGGATTGTCCTCTTTTCTCTTCAAGGGGGAGAATCCAATATTCTCCATCTCCTGAAGCCAGCAACAGAATATGGCAGAAGTGATATCATGTGACTTCCCAGCCGAAGCCTCCAGAGACCATGCCATTTCCACTCTTGCATTCATTCATCATCGAAAAAAATGTTCAATTTTTTAAGTTGATGAAAGTGAGAAGTTAGAAGTTAATGAAAACAGAAATGTTCTTTTTATTCCTCACCCTAAATTCTCTCTAAGGACCCACATTGAGAATCCCTGGCTGACAGCATCTGGTCCAGAAATGTCTGCACTTTCATTAGGACCACTGACCCCCTAAATGGAAAGACACCAGTGTCGAGACCCCTGGCACTCTGACTAGCTGGGGCCTCCTCCCTCAGACCAGAGAGCACACCAATGAGCAGCCAGGCTCCCTACTGTGTCAGGTACTGAGCCAGGTACTTTACACACAGCACTGAGCTAGTACCTCGGCTCAGAGGTACTAGCATCCCCACTTTCCAAGGTGAAAACTGAGGCTCAAGATGCTTAAGTAATTTGCCCAAGGTCCCAGGGTTGGTAACCAGAACTTTGCTCCTTCCACCCCACCACACCACAAGGGAGGCAGGGCCCAGCTGGAGGTGGGAGGAGGCCCCAGCCTCTCATTAAATCTTCCTAACCACCTTCTAAAGGTGTTACTTTGATTCCTCCTGTGTGATTAAGGAGGCTGCCCTGAGGCCTAGGGACTGTTTCTATGCAGGCACAGTGGTAAAGGGGTAAAGGGTCGGGGCACTAGAAGAAAGAGGCTTTTAATGCTGTTTAAGAGAGCCACCCCAGCACTTCTCCCAGGCCCAGTGGACATAGCAAGCATCCCACCCTCACGGGGCTGAGCTAAGCTGGGGCTTCCAGAGGGTTCTCAGAAGGCAGGGGCAAGCCAGGACAGCAGAGCCACGATGGGAAGCAGGGGGAGAGAGGGGGGCAGACCAGTGCAGCAGGGGCAGGGGAGCAAAGGGGGGCAGGGACCCGGGGAGCAAGGGGGCTGCCAGCTGAGGCCTTACCTTGTTCTCACAGTGGATCTTGGCCCCAGAGTTGACCAGGATCTGGAGGATCCGCAAGTGGCCAAACCAGGCAGACAGGAGGAGCGCGTTCATACCAAACTGGGGGAGAGGACACAGGGAGGAGGTGAGGTTAACGTAAGCAAGTGTCACTGTGCCACATGAGCCCAGGTCTGTGATGAAAATCATACAAACATAAGGGACCATGCATGCCACTCAGGCCAGGGAGCACCAAACTCCAAGGATGTGAAAACCATGGCGTTTTTTTATTTTTATAATTTTTTAAGATTTTATTTATTTGAGAGAGCACAAGTGGGGGGTAAGGGGCAGAAGGAGAGGGAGAAGCTGACTCCTCGCTGAGCAGAGTGGCCATCATGGGGCTCCATCCCAAGACCCCGAGGTCATGACCTGAGTCAAAGGCAGATGCTTAACCGACTGAGCCACCCAAGCACCCTTCCATGGCATTTTTTTAAATAGAGGCTGAAACACTATCACAACCTTTTGTTTTTGCTAAATAAAATTTTAAAATAGAGGCACAGGGAAAAAAAATAAATAAAATAGAGGTACGGGGACACCTGGGTGGCTCAGTTGAGCATCTGCCTTCGGCTCAGGTTGTGATCCCCAGGTCCTGGGATCCAGTCCTGCATCAGGCTCCCTGCCTGGAGCCTGTTCTGCCGTCTGCCTATGTCTCTGCCTCTCCTGTGTGTCTCTCATGAATAAATAAATAAAAATCTTGGGATGCCTGGGTGGCTCAGCAGTTTAGTGCCTGCCTTCAGCCCAGGGCATGATCCCAGAGTCCCCGGATCAAGTCCCGCGTCGGGCTCCTGGCATGGAGCCTGCTTCTCCTCTACCTGTGTCTCTGCCTCTCTCTCTCTGTGTCGCTCATGAATAAACAAATGGAATCTTAAAAAAAAAAATCTTTAAATAAGAATTAAATAGGGGTATCTGGGTGGCTCAGCTGGTTACATGCCTGACTCTTGATTTCAGCTCAGGTCATGACTTCAGGGTAATGAGAGCAGCCCCACATCAGGCTCTGTGGTGAGCCTGGGCCTGCTTGGGATTCTCTCTCTCCCTCTCCCACTGCCCCCCTCCCCTTCGTGTGTCTATAAATAAATAAATAAATAAATAAATAAATAAATAAATAACAAAAATGAAAGAGCTACCATCTCTTCTCCCCATCATTTATTTTTTTAAAGATTTTATTTATTTATTTATTTATTTATTTATTTATTTATTTATTTATTTATGAGAGACAGAGAACAGAGAGAGAGAGAGAGGCAGAGACACAGGCGAGGGAGAAGGAGGCTTCATGCAGGGAGCCCGATGTGGGACTAGATCCCAGGTCTCCAGGATCAGGCCCTGGGCTGAAGGCGGTGCTAAACCGCTGAGCCACCTGGGCTGCCCCTCTCCCCATCATTTAATAAAGATGAAACCTTTTTTTTTTTTTTTTACTTTTTTTTTTTTATTTATGATAGTCACACACAGAGAGAGAGAAAGAGAAGCAGAGACACAGGCAGAGGGAGAAGCAGGCTTCATGCACCGGGAGCCCGACGTGGGATTCGATCCCGGGTCCCCAGGATCACGCCCTGGGCCAAAGGCAGGCGCCAAACTGCTGCTCCACCCAGGGATCCCTGTTAACTAAAGTTAACATGCCCATCAGCTTTCTTATTTTCCATTTATTTATTTATTTATTTATTTATTTATTTATTTAAGATTTTACTTATTTATTCATGAGAAACAGAGAGACAGAGAGGTAGAGACACAGGCCGAGGGAGAAGCAGGCTCCCTGAAGGGAGCGCGACGTGGGACTCGACCCCTGTCTCCAGGATCATGCCCTGGGCCGAAGGCGGCGCTAAACTGCTGACCTACCCAGACTGCCCTTATTTTTCAAAATATATTTATTACTATTTGCAAAGAAAACACATCTATAAAAGCACCATATCTTACTATTCTTCCTCATATCTTCTTTTCTCACTGATTCCCTCAAGGAAGAAATAACAGAGCACAGAGGTGATTTGGGGGGGGGTTGTGGGCATAGGCCCCTCGTGTGAGGTCCCAATATTTTGTCGGGAAACACAGGCTAAAGGATCTCAAGCATCCTCCTTCCAGAGTCACCTCTAAATGAGGCCTAAGGAAATGCAGAGAGATGGGGCAGGAGTGGGGTGGGGGGGGAGATGTTGCTTCCTGCCCCCGCCCCTCCACTCCAGCTTGTCATCAAGCTCCCCCTCATACTGGAGCCTGGGAACAGAGAGAGGCCAGGGCAAAGAACAGTTTTCTGTGAAAGGTGTCTCTCTGCAGGGAAGTTTGTAATTCTTTAAAAGTTGTTTAATTTAGACTCTTAAATGTATCCCTGTCAAGTGCCATCGTCAGACTCAGTCCTCTCCCCAACTCTCTAGAGATGATTTCATAGATCCTGTTATTCTTTAGTGTTCTCTCTCAGCAATGTGTTGCCTGCCAACTTGTTAAGTAAGACTATTGGTCTTTTTTTTTTTTTCTCTTAAAGATTGATTTATTGGGGCACCTGGGTGGCTCATGGTTGAGTGTCTACCTTTGGCTCAGGTCATGATCCCAGGTCCTGGGATCGAGTTTCGCGGCAGGCTCCCCAGAGGGAGCCTGCTTCTCCCTCTACCTATGTCTCTGCGTCTCTGTGCGTGTCTCTCATGAATAAATAGTCTTAAAAAAAAAGTGGAAAGTAACTTAATATTTTTTTATTTTTTTTTAGTAACTTAAATATTAAAAAAAGAGAGAGAGAGCGTGCGTGTGCTGGCAGGAAGAGCAAAGGGAGAAAGAGTCTTAAGCAGACTCTGTGCTGAGCGCAGCCAGACGCAGGGGCCAGACTCGGGTGATCTCACCACCCTGAGATGAGACCTGAGCGGAAACCAAGAGCCGGTTGCTTAACCGATTGCGCCATCCAGGAGCCCCAGACTGTTAGTCTTCAGTCAAGTCTCTAGTTAAAGTGTCAGCCAGGGCAAAGCCTCATCGCATATCATGGGAGACCCACCTCCTGAGGATTTTACCAATAAGTCGTTCATCAATCCACCCAATTTTCTGTTCTACAGCCCCTATCTCTCCCTGTTCACATGGTATCATGAGGGACCGAGAACTAAAAAGCTCTTGATGGGCAGCCCAGGTGGCTCAGTGGTTAAGCACCTGCCTTCAGCTCAGGATGTGATCCTGGAGACCCGGGATGGAGTCCCACGTTGGGCTCCCTGCATGGAGCCTGCTCGTGTCTCTGCCTGTGTCTCTGCCTCTCTCTCTCTCTCTCTCTCTCTCTCTCTCTCTCTCTCTCTGTGTGTCTCTCAGGAATAAATAAGTAAAATTAAAAAAAAAAAAAAAGCTCTTGAAAATGGAGAGATCTTGACGGCTGCACAAGGGAAACCTGGGATCAGCATAGTGTCACCGGCCCTAAACCGCTTCCCGTCCGCCCCGTGCCTGTGTGTGCGTGTATTAGTGCAGCCTCCGCGGGGACAGCCACAGCGGATGTCCCCTCCCCACCCGGGGACAGGCAGGCACACAGCCGTGCACACATGCGCAGACGCGCCTGGCGAGGGGTCCCCTACCGCATCCTCATCGTCCACAGCAACCTCATGCTGCAGGAGCAGCTGCACGGCCTGCTCGTGCCCGGCGCCCGCGGCCCAGTGCAGGGCCACCCTGCCCACCTGCCGGGGGGAGAGCAAAGTGTGAGGTGCCAGCTGCCTGCCTGGTCCACACCCCCCTGCTCCTGGTCTCTCCGGCTGCAGGACACCTGGTCTGCAGGGTGGAAGGGACTGTGCAGGCTCTGGTGACAAGGGGGCAGGACCCCAATCCCACTCAGGCCCTCTCCTCCTCCTTCACATGACAGCGGCTGAAACAAACGTAGTAAAAATGCAATGACTAGATCCAGCTATCCCCCTACTCCCCACCTAAGGCTTCCCAGCTTCCCACTGCTCTTGGGACAAACTCCTAACCCTGGGCCCTGCCCACTACTCAGAAATGCCAAACTATTCCCCCCTGCCCTGTCTTTGTTCCTGCTGGATAGCCACCTGTCAGAGGAGTCCTGTCCTAGTCTTTGAGGGCCCCTGACTGCCTGCGTTCTGTGCCCCTCCTTCCTTCAGAACAGGCCAAAGGGGCCCAATCCCCTACCACATTGTCAGACCACCCCAGAAGTTCATCATGGTCTTTGGTCTCAGCACATATGAGCAATATTGGGGGAATCCAGCCTCCCTGGCCCTCCTGACTCTAACCTTTGTTCCTTGGGTGTGCCTTTCAGATGGGTGACAGGAACGAAGAGTATGCGCTCCCCACCTGTCCAAGCTTGGCTGGGAATCCCTACCCTGACCTGGACCAGGCCTCAGAGACCTGGAGACAACATGAACAATCTGAGCCTCCCCCAAGTGAACACATGCAATGCTCTGCCTTCAAGGGCTCCATGAACTGTTCCCTTGGTGTGGAGGTGTCACCATGGCAGGCACTGTGCCTATCCAAGCATCCCAATTTGGAAGAGCCCCCATACGAACGTGGTTTCTGGCTCTGACGTTGACTCTCCTTTCGATCAGTTCCTTCATCCTCCCGATGTTGTTCCGTCGGGCGGTCTCATGGAGCTGCCTCTCCAGAGGAAGCACTAAGGGCAGAAAAGTGGATGTGGGATGAGGGGAGGGTGCCCACACTGCCTAAGGAGGAGAGATGAACAGCTCCTCCCTGCCCTGAATGTTTCCCAGGCAGGAGTCTTCTAGCTAGGACTGGTGGTGGGGATGCCTCTCTTCCCTTTGGATGTTGGGGACTTCCCCAGACAAGCTGCTTTTCTTCACTAACTCACCACAAGTCCCCACGACCAGGACTCAATAAAACCCCAAAGACGGGACAGCATGGGCAAGACTGCCCACAGGTGTGTGCCCAATATGGTCCTCGTCCAGTTTTCATGACCCCAAGAGCAGCTCTTGAGGAAGGGAATGGAATTCATTCCCAATGGAGTTGATAACTGCCTTTTCCATGGCTTTGTCCAGTGAAGAAGGCAGCCAGGATTTTTTTTTAAAAGATTTTATTTATTTATTCATGAGAGACACAGAGAGAGGCAGAGACACAGGCAGAGGGAGAAGCAGGCTCCCCGCAGGAAGCCCGATACGGGACTCGATTCCAGGACCCCGGGATCACACCCTGAGCCGAAAGCAGATGCTTAACCACTGAGCCACCCAGGTGTTCCTGTGCCCCTATTTTTAAATTTTATTTAGAAAAAACAAAAGTTTGCAGTAATTTTCAGCCTCTATTTTTAAAAATGCCACGGAGGGGTGTTTGGGTGGCTCAGTCAGTTAAGCATCTGCCTTTGACTCTGGTCATGACCTTGGGGTCTTGGGATTGAGTCCCATGTTGGGCAGGCAGCCAGGATTTACTGAGCCACGTATTTCATTAAGCTTGGGCAAGGCCAGAGGTATGTTCACCTTCCTTCTTTGTCCTTGACCCTCCACCTCTTCTCCCTTCATCCCCAATCCCAACCAGCTGTCACCTCCCAGCTGTGGGGCCCACCCAGATTTGCCTTCTCTCTGGGCTCCTCTTGCCTCAACACTGCACCATTATCTCAGACTAGAGGGAGCCTCCGAGCTCCCCCTGCTGGCCTCCTGCCAGCAGTGGGCTCAGGGTGGTAGCCAAGCCAGGAAGATCCAGGCCTGGTGACAGGGTCCAGGTCTCATCTCACCAGACCCTCCACGCTGCCATCATCCTGACTGCTCTTGGCTTGTGAGGATGTCTTGTGTCCTTAGCTGGACCACAAGGTCCTTGGGGGGCCCTGGCCACATCTGACCTTTGCCAATCCACCTACAGCTCACAGCAGGCCCAAAGCTGGACATAGGGAGGGCTCCATAAAACTGCTTCCAGGGGTGCTTGTGTGGCTCAGTGATTGAGCATCTGCCTTTGGCTCAGGTCGTGATCCCAGGGTCCTGGGATCGAGTCCTGTATCATACTGGGGAGCCTGCTTCCCCCTCTGCCTATGTCGCTGCCTCTCTCCATGTCTCTCATGAACAAAAAAAATAAAATCTTAAAACAAAAACAAAACTCTGTTTCCATGAGTGACACATAAATCCTCAGACTAATAGATACCTGTCCCTCCCCCAGAAAGGTTTAGACACGCTAGCACAGGCACAAATATTTGCTGGTCCTTTGCATGGTCATTAGAGGGCAGATAATCTGTGGTCTACTTGCTGCCACACCCACATCCTGCATGTTTGGTCCAATGCGAATGTCCAGATCCAGCCCCTGTGTATATCCAGGGACAGGTGGCCAGTGTTTTGGCAGGGAAAACTAGGATGCACTGAGGTGACAGACGGGCTGGCCATCAGTCTACTTTCCAGATATGTATGGGACAGGGTCTTGGGCTTTCAAGGGCCTTGTAGACACAATTTAGGGAGCTCAGAGCTGCTGCCCCAGGGCAATCACACAGCCCTAGGTTTCAACTCTGGCAAGTCACTTCCAGGCCTCCAGGCCATGTGACTTAATTATCCTGTGCCTCAGTTCCTTTATCTGCAAAATAGGGAATATTAGCCACCCTGTAGGGTTATTGTAATGATTAGATATAAGATAAGAAAAGCCCCAAGCATGGTATCTATCTAGCAAATAGTGCCATCATCATCCTCACCATTATTCCTCTAAGGCAAAGTAAATTCTGGTGGTCAAAGACCTGGAGGTGGTGGGGCCTCCTTCACCTAGGGTCCTCTAAGCCCATGAAATCCCAACCAAAGAAAGCACCCTCTCTATCCACCTCCATGCATTATTTTTCTCCATGGCACCCCTCACCACAGATGTATGATATACTTACATATTTATCAGGTTTATTACCTGCTTCCCCTATTATAAGCCGGGGAGGACAGAGGAGATCTTTGTCTGACATGTTAATTGCTGTATCCCCAAATTCAGGCCCTGGCACACATGAATGAGTGACATATAAATCATTTAATCTCTTCAGGGGCCTTTGAACTCTAAGATACTGTCCCAATTAAGACTCATTAGTCCCCCGGAAAATCAAACCACAAGCTTAGATAAATGGCAGGAAAGAGGCTTTGAGGGGGAGGCAGCTTCAGATCAGTATTTCAGGGGAGGGGGAAACACCACCTTCTAAGTGTGGTCTCCATTGCTAGCTCTTCCCTTCCCCATCCACAAAGGGGGGTGCCCTTCCTGTAGGTGAGGAGAAGGCTCTTCTGGAAGAACCCCTCTCAGATCTCAAACATCTCCAGGAAGCGTGGAGTCCCAAGCTTTTGTTTCCTTAACCTCTTGGCTGAACACCATGAGCCAGGTTCAGGAAAAGAGCTGGCACTTCAGGTGTGAGCTTAGAGAAGCTGGGGTTCTAGTACCCACTCTGCCACTTTCTAGCAGCAGGATCCTGGGCTAGCCATGTACCCCTTGGAGGCCTCCCTTTCTTCAGTTCTAAAACCGCAGGAGGGTGGGATGCCTGGATGGCTCAGTGGTTGAGCATCTGCTTAGGTAGTGATCCTGGGATTCCCAGTAGTCCTGGGAACGAGTCCTGCATCGGGATCCCCACAGGGAGCCTGCTTCTCCCTCTGCTTGGGTCTCTGCCTCTCTCTCTGTGTCTCTCACAAATAAATAAATAAAATATTTTAAAAATAAAAATAAATAAAACTGCAGGGCGGTGAAGAAAGTTCTATGTAGAGATCCTTGGGATCCCTGGGTGGCTCAGAGGTTTAGTACTTGCCTTTGGCCTGGGGCATGATCCTGGAGTCCCTGGATCGAATCCCACATCAGGCTCCCTGCATGGAGCCTGCTTCTCCCTCTGTCTGTGTCTCTGCCTCTCTCTCTCTGTCTCTCTCTCTCTCTCTCTCATGGGTAAATAAATAAAATCTTAAAAAAAAAAGAGAGAGAGAGAGAGAGATCCTTTCCAGCTGGGACTCCCTTTTTCTTAGCTGAAACCTACAAGTGGCTTGGTTTCTGCTGGCAAACAGCCATGAGTCTGAGCAGGAGCCAGCAGACCCTGCAAGGCACAGTGAAACCCAATCTCATCTCCTCCATCCACCTCCTCTCATGCACCCTCTTTCCGGCCCATATCAAATACACACTGAACCCTGGCCTTGGAGACCTTTCCCAGTGCTGCCTCCTCTGCCCAGAATTCCCTCCCACACACCCCAATATTCCATTGCTGCACATTCTTTTTTTTTTTTTTTCCTGCACATTCTCTTAAAGAATGTGCAGAAGGGCCAGCTCGTAAGAGCCAGCTCAAGTGATCCTCTGGCTCTTAAGGGCCAGTTCAAATGATCCTCTGCCCCAGGCCGACCCCATGCCCTTTGAAACAGCACCTCCATAGAGCTCCTCACCCCACACCCCCATCCCAGCGAGGACCCTGGCACAACCCTTCTCTCCCCTCTCCCAGGGAGCGCAACCGGAGCCCCTCAGGCCAGCTCATGCCCCCCAGGGATGCTGCTCCCAGCCTAGAGGCCCTGGTACGGAGCACAGTCCTGGACGGATGCTCTGTGGTGCGCTCAGCCACCTGCTGCAGCCGCAGCTTCCCTCCTCTGGGTTCCAGTTTCCCCACCTGGTATGGTCTTCACTCCCGTCCAACCCCAACATTCCGGGAGAGCTGGGGCCTTCGGGATCCCTACCACTTAAAGGCCATGTGACCTCGGGTAGCTTATTTAACCACCCCGAGCCTCGGCTTCCCTTCTGCAAAACGGCGATAGCAACAGATGGCGCCCCGGTCCTCCGCGGAGGTCAAACCGCACGCCCCGCGCGCCAACTGAGCCTGCACACGGGACCGCGTAAGCATCGTGTCTGCGGCTAACGTCTCCGCGGCCGCATCGCGCTGCTCCCGGGACTGGTGGCGCCACCCAGTCCCGGACGCGCGGCCAACGTCCCCCGGACGCCACAAAGAAGCCGGCGGCCGCGGCTCGGTCGCCCCCGCGGGAGTGCGGGGCTCCTCGGGGCTCGCCCGCGCCCGCCCCCGGGCCCGCGGCGGACTCACGGCCGTCGGCCTCCCACGCCGCGGGCTCCTCCAGGCCGCCGCTCCGCCGCCCGGGCGCGCGCTCCTGCCGAGGTCGGGGCCCGGGCGCCCCCGGGGGGGCGGGGGAGCGCGCGGCGGCCGCTGCCGCAGACCCCTCGGGCCCGCCCGAGCCCTGGAGCATGACGTGCGCGCAGCCGCCGCGGCCTCCGCCCGCAGGACCGGGCTGCAGGTGCCTCCTCGGCGGACCCCGCCTGCCCGCCGCTCCGCGCCTTTCACACCGAGGCCGGCGGGTCGGGGGTTCCCGGGGGCGTGTCTCCCCCAGGGGCTGTCCCGGCGTCCCCGGCCCTGGCCCTTCGCGTTAGGCCTCCTGCAGGCCCCACCCTCGGGACTCCGGAGCCTGCCCAGCTGCCCCCGGACGCTGGGAGTCAGACTCCAAGGGTCTGGACAGGCATTCAAGGAACAGACCCCCCAGCAAGCCTGTAAGCATATGAAGACATGCTCAGATTTTTTCATGCTCAGAAAAATACAAGCTAAGGGTGGCTCAGTGGTTGAGCGGCTGCCTTTGGTTCAGGGCGTGACCCCAGGCTCCTGGGATCAAGTCCGGCCAGAGGCTCGCCTGCAGGGAGCCTGCGTCTCCCTCTGCCTATGTCTCTGCCTCTGTGTGTCTCTCAGGAATAAATAAATAAAACGAAAGAAAGAAGAAAGAAGAAAGAAAAGAAAGAAAGAAAGAAAGAAAGAAAGAAAGAAAGAAAGAAAGAAAGAAAGAAAGAAAGAAAGAAAGAGGAAGGAAGGAAGGAAGGAAGGAAGGAAGGAAGGAAGGAAGGAAGGAAGGAAGGAAGGAAGGGAAGGAAGAAGGGAAGGAAAGAAAGAAAAATACACCTTAAAATGACAATGAGATAGCACACCAATTAGACTGGCAAAGTTAGAAACCTAGATAATGCCAACTGTTGGTGGGGGAATGAGGGGCTGTCACAGCCAGGTGGACTGCTGATGGGAGTAGCCTGGAGCATCCTTTCTGGAAAGCAGTCTGGCAGTGATGAGGGAAGCTAACCACAGTGAACTTTGACCCTGGAATGCAGCTCTTTCTCTTCGAGTCTCAGAAAAGGACATGTAAAAGGTTGTTCCTTGCTGCCTTGTTGATCTGTGGTTGCTGATGGAGTCGGAGGTGAGGAGCATCTGTGCTGAGGGAGCAGATGGGTAAAATGTGGGATTATGCAACCAGAGAAGCAAGGAAACAATGTGTGGCTTGGGGATTGGATGGCAGCTTGGGGATTGGATGGCAGCAGGCTGTGAAAGAATTCACCCAAGGCAGAACAAAAACGTCAGAAGTTTGTTGGATACACTGCAAGGGGGCTTCAGGCAGGACAACAAAGGGGGGACTGCCACAAGGCAGTGGCAAAGGGGCTATAGTTATAGGGCAGAATGAGGAAGTATGGGGACAGAGTGAATTTTCCCTTTTTTGGTGACTGCCTGGTTGTAAGTACCCCATTGGTGCGTTAGGGAGGTAGGTCACATAATGAGCCTGTTTGCATTCAGCTCTGCCGGTGGTCGCTGTGGGCCCTTTTACCTTGCTCAGGTTTCCATTGCTCAATCCTGTTATTTAAAAGCAGCCTCTACATCCAGGTGTATTCACAAGAGGGATTCAAATGCCCAGTGCTAAGCTGAAAAGGTAAAACAACCCAGTGAGACCTGTAACACAATATCAATAAATGCACACACACAGGACAACACAGATTACAAAGGCACAAACAAAAAGATACACATTAAACATCAGAATGGGTTTCACTTCAGACCCCTGGGGACTGTCCATGTCTTCTCTTCTTTGCTTTTTTTGGCTTTAAGGCATTTACAGCTCCTTTAGATTTAGGGATAGTGAAGTCCCAGGCATCTCTACCCCCAGATAAAGAGCTAGGGATCAAGGAAGGAAGAATATTTTTCAGTCATTAGTGTAGTTCAAGGCTTCCTGGAGGAGGAGGTATTTGGGATGGCCTTCGAAAAATAACATAATGATAATAGCTAACATTTAAAGAGCCTCAAGCTAAGCATTTTGTGTGGATTATCTCATGTTGTCCCCCAAACCACCCTACGTGCACCATTTTACAGAGGAGGAACTAAAGCAGGAGGCAGTAAATAACTCTCCCTACCTCACATGGGTAAGTAGTAGAGCCAGGGTTCTAACCCAGGTGGTCTGATTCAAGAGCCAGAGCATGAGCATCTGGCAGCTGGAGAGGACGCTGATGGAGTCAAAGCCACAGACAGCAGGCAGTGTCTCTAGACCTTGGCCTCCCAGATGGATGCAGAGGTGCCAGGGAGCAGTTGGCTGGTATAACTGCCCACCTGCCATCCATGAGATCCATTGGCCTGAGCCAGCAGAATGAAGTGGCTGCTGCTTTTTGCATCTCAAACTAGCATGTTCATATGTTGGAATTCACTGTGGTGAATGAGGGGCACAGGAAACCACAGTGAGGACTTCAATTTTACATGATAACTGGGAGAGGGTAGAAAAGTTGCATTTTTATTAAAACAACCACGGTTATATGCACAAAGAGAGTAAGATGGCTCTCTCTTTGGGGATATTTGGAGGGAGATATTTGGGGTAAACAAACCCTGGCTCTGCCTTCTTCCTGTCGCTGATGGGATGCAGAGTCCATTTTCACTTTGTGTCTCCAGCTCCAGCACTCAACATCATCCCCCAACCCCATACACACTCAATCACTCACTTGCTCAATTTGATGATCCCTAGGTCATTCTCAAAGAAGACAGTAACACGCTGCCTCCATCCCCTTAGCATTAAGGACAGTGGGGTCAGGAAAAAAAGAGGTAAATCAGAGACCATCACAGTTGACAGGGATGGAGAGAGAACCTGAAAGCACAGTGCTGGGGCTTGGGGTAGACCATGTGGGGGTGGCTCCAGGACCTGTATGAGTGTGTGTGACAGAGGGATGTGATTGACTTTAAAACTTACTAGAAATAACTAGGGCAGCCCAGGTGGCTCAGCGGTTTAGCGCCTTCAGCCCAGGGTGTGATCCTGGAGACCTGGGATGGAGTCCCACATCGGGCTCCCTGCATAGAGCCTGCCTGTGTCTCTGCCTCTCTCTCTCTTTCTCTCTGTGTTTCTCATGAACAAATACATAAAATCTTTTAAAAAAGAAAAAAAAAAACTTCCTAGAAATAATGAGAAAAATATCAAAGTGAGAAAAAATGGATGGAAAACTTTTTTGTGTGTGGAAAAAATGTCAATTATAGTCATTTATGAGCTCTACATATCGTGTTAGCCTATTAACTTTGTAGCTTAGTAATGATGCACATAATTTCAAATGTCTTTTTCCTTTTCCAATCTTCATGTAGCTGGGGTGCAAGGGTGCAAGGGCACCTGGCTTCAGAGATCCCAAGCAGACCAAGATTTGGCCACTGGCCACTGACAAAATCCAGAGGCAGAGAAATGAGCGGTGATAAAATCAGAAAGGAATTTATTTCAGTGAGGCCAACACCCAAAAGACCTCAGACCAGCATCTCAAAGCCCATCTCCAAAGTGCTGAGAATGCTTGTCGGTTTATATAAGGAAAATGTGGGGCAAAGGTCAGTGGGTACTGGGTACGTGCAGGTAGGCAGTAAAGGTCAGGTCAGTCATTGTCTTGGGGTCAGTCACTGGAGCTTGCCGGCATCAGGGCAGTCCTTATTGCTTGAGGGGGTGGTAGTTTCAGCTCCTGTCACTGGATGCTTGGCCGGCAGGGTCTTTTAAGAGATAAGCTGGAAAGAAGAACCTAATCAACAAATCAATCAATCAAGAACAGATCGAGTCAAAGGAAGGCAGCTGAAGTCATCTTACTGGGGGAGGAAAAAACAATACAAAATTAAACTTGCTACAGTTCCTTCAGTAGAATGAAGTTTCCTCTGGTCTGCCTCAGGGCCTTTGGACTTGCCATTTCCATTTCCACAATTACCTCTTTGTCATTTTTTAAAAAAGGTTTTATTTATTTATTCATGAGAGACTTGGAGAGAGAGGTAGCGATAGGAGAAGCAGGCTCCATGCAAGGAGCCTGATGAGGGGCTGGATCCCAGGACTCTGGGATCACGCCCTGAGCTAAAGGCAGACACTAAACCACTGAGCCAACCAGGCATCCCGCTCTTTGTCATTTTTGACTGGCTTAAGTGTCCATTGCTTCATGTTCGTTGTGCCACCCCTCACTGTCCCTCTCACAGCAGCCTTTGCCTCCAGAGCACAGTCACAATTTGTAATTCTGTAACACACAAATAACACTGAGTCTATCTGTTTCTACTCAGGAGTCATTGCCCTGTCATTTTATACTCAAGGGGGACACTAGACTACTATAAGACTAGTATATTATTTGCTCTACTTTTGTGTATATTTGAAATTTTCTATAATTTTTTTAACAGAATTCCTATCCCTTGGATAAGGCAAATATGGAGAAATATTAATATGTGGTACTATTCTTTCAACTTTTCTATAGGTTTAAAATTTTTCTGAGTAAAACATTAAGAGAAAAAAAAATCATCTCTTTGTCCTGATCCTTTTGCTTCAGTGAACTGGCTTCTTAGGTCAGACCTCGGACCCCTAGGCACCATTCTGAGTAGCTCTTTGCGACTGAGAGAAGTGGTGTTTTTTTTTTTTTTTTTTTTTTTATGATAGTCACACAGAGAGAGAGGCAGAGACACAGGCAGAGGGAGAAGCAGGCTCCATGCACCGGGAGCCCGACGTGGGACTCGATCCCCGGTCTCCAGGATCGCGCCCTGGGCCAAAGGCAGGCGCCAAACCGCTGCGCCACCCAGGGATCCCCTGAGAGAAGTGTTATGGTCCCAGACCACCAAATAGAGCAGCTCCCAAACCCAGCAAGGTCAGAGCTGGGAGTAAAATCTAGGAGTATCTGGACACCTTGCAAATGTTGCTTGGGGCACTTGGGACTTCAAACCTACAAGTTCAGGGCTTCCATCAACTAGGGAGTCATGTGCCATTAAGACTTGCCTTCTACTGGGGTGGCTCAGTTCGTTATGTGTCTACCTTCAGCTCAGGTCATGATCTCAGGGGCCTGGGATCAAGCCCCAAGTCAGGCTCCCTGCTCAGTGGGGTGTCTGCTTCCTCTCTCCCGCTGCCTCTCCTGGCCACACCTCGGGTACTTGCTCCGGGGTTCTTTCTCTCAAATAAATAAGACTTATTTTCTA